TAAAATTGCATTGCTCTTGAACAAGACGATTTCCTTATAACTTCATCATTATTATGTACGTTAAATAATATGGTAACTGTGCGTTTTTTGGTACGACTGGAATGAAAACTTGCATGCATAGATAGACGTAGTAATTAAAAAACCCAAAACTGACTACCCAAGTACCCCTTGCTGAACAATATTTCCAACAATGTGTTCAAAAAATTATTAAAAATATTGCCAGATTTAGCACAGCAGCGGTCTGCTTACAGTATTTTTGAAATTTATTCTGTTTTTTATCTACGAGTATGTTCCTTATAAAAACTCTATTTGTAGTAGATACATCTGTTCTGGTAACTGACGTCCAATTGCATTGAGAACATGCACATTCCAGACCCTCTGTCGTTGCCAGCTTGAATCGATTCCGGTCGACATAGATTTCCAACCGATCTCATTAATTTTCTAGAAGTATCATTGGCTGTAATATACATGGACTTAAAATTTGCTGTTTCTCTCAAAAATCCTTCTTTTTTGAGATTCTAGAACTGCCTAACAAATCCCTTCAGACACGAGGTAGGCGGAGGGTGAGAAGGAATCTAAAGTGCCTGACATCATTAATTGATGGCCTCTATAAATGTACTTTAAACAAAAGACGTCTATCTACATTGGAAATTGTGAAAGGATATAGACGTGCTACAGCTTAGGACATTCCACGCATGAAATAGGGAAAAAAGGGAAATTGAAGGGGTACTCGAAGCGTAACGCGAGTCAAGGGGTGAAGGGGCCAAGGGGTGCAAAAGCGAAAACCACTGCAGATCCCTCTATATTACATCCAAAGCTCGAACCAGCTTACAAATTCCGATCCTAAACGTAATTTACTCCTCGAATGAATGGTTTTTTTCACTTCCTCTACTTTTTGTCCATGATATCTTAATATCTAATTTGAAAAATAGAATGAAATTGTGAATCAACCACTGTACTAATTGCGAGGGGCGTTGGTTCATTTGAAAGGTGTTGTTCTCAATGCTTCGGGAAAACTATAAATTATTTTCTGGGGTTCGTCCCCGATTTTTAAATCCCTAAAAACTCATAAATTGGATGAGGGGAAGTGGGGGTTTTTTGTTTTTTGTTTTTCGGAAAAGTTTTGTTGCTACGCATCTTAGCCTACATACTCACACCTATTGAATCGTAAACTAAAATAGTGAATCTGACAACGTTAGAGCGTGGCACCAGAGGTGGAGTGAGAGGTTGTTGGTGCGGCAACGTTGCGCAATCGGTTTGCCAACAGAAGTGCCGCCTGCTGCCGCCCCATTGCCCCCC